TCACTTGTATATTAGAACACGTTATACTGATGGCGGTTTAACTCGGAACGGAACTCTCCAGTCATAAGATATGGTCGGCAAATCTATTGTCTACCCTTGCTAATGACAGCAAATAATTCTACTTACTTCATATTATATATCAGGAAATAGAGTAATAAACCATTACACAAAACAGACTAATAAATGAATCCGCAGTAAGTCTAATCACGGTCTCTAAACATCTATGTACGGAAGCAAATCGATGACACCTCAACGATCGCTAAAATCGGTACATTCGTTTAAGCTGCATGAAGACACAATGGAAGTCACATAAGTAGATGCAATATCCGTACAATCCTCATTGAAACATTAAATATCCACAAAATTACCTACAATTAATGTATAAATTGGTTTAATTTGGTAACAATATAAAGACTATAGAGGATGGGTTGAAACGATTTCTTTTAAAAATTACGAGTTGCGATTTGGATTTTACATATTTCCGTGTTTATAATTGTAATTTCAAGAGGTCTATTTACATATTTTCCTCTTCTTTTACTCATAATTTTTAATTTCCTTATGGCGTTGGTTTAACTTGTTTGAATGTACGTCACAGCTATTTGTTTCCTAATCACATATAATTCGAGTTTGAGAAAACGTAACTAGTTATTATTATCTTGTCAAATAAAAATAAATATATCAAACAAAAAGAAGAGACATCACAGATGCATACAAAACATATGAAAAGGGGCAACATATTTCTGAAACAAATTATCTTCTATACATATTAATAAATTAAAATGTCATACTTCACGAACATTTATTTTAAAGTATTGTTTTTACGTTGCATATAAAGAAAAACCGATTTTTTTAATTTCGTCTGGCTGTCTCACCGCAAATTTATTTCGTTCCGTGAACTCTCTAAAATAGCTAGACCGATTTTGATGGAACTTTTACTGTAAGGATGTAGTACGTAGATTATTTTTTATTCCGCGAAAACGACGCGGGCGACCGCTATATAAATCGAATTTTAAAGACAAAGATTATAAAGGAAATAGACTAAAAATTAGAATGTTAAACCAGTTTATAATCATCACAAAAACACATGCGCTAACGCAAACGTTTGAGTGTTATGACGCAGTGGTGGCGTCACCAGCTATTCATGATTTCCAAAGGAGACTGGCATTACCTTTTGAAACGTACAATACGTATTAATATTAATTAAGGTCACATACATTGAAGAAAATATGAAAAGGTAGTGAATATACTTTTAAAAATATATTTTTTAAATTTCGATTCTAAGCATTATCTCAATGCCTGGCTTGGTTTGGTCAAGAAGTGACAATAATTTTATCATACATATTAACTCTTTGGAGGAATGCAAAAATTTGAATATACGTAAAAAAAAATGCACTCACATATGCAGTAGTTGTTATGAAACAAATAGATTACTTTCGACTGCTTGGTACTCTATATTGGATACAATAAATACTTAAACTTTGTTATATTGATTGTAATCCCTCAATTCTTTATGTAATTCTCCGGATTGTCAGAGATTCAATTATGAGATTGGTGCAACAATTCAATGAAAATGGATTACAAGAAAGTCGACAATGAATTGCTTCATTAATGATACCGCGTGGACAAGTGTTTTCTTTATTAGCAGTTCTTTTGCCTTATCGTATTCTATTACACCTACCATGGAAAATATTATACAACGCATAATAAATGATGGTTCAATAGTAATTGTTTTTTGAAAATCTATAGAAAATAATAATATTTATATAGATCTCAAATCTATTACGTTGCTCCGAGGAGCCCTGAAGCACTTTTGAGTGACATTTTCGATTTTTTTTAAAATACATATTAGCGGATTTTTATTAATCTTACTAATATTATAAATCCGAATGTTTAGATGCATGAATGAATGGTTTTTTGTTTGAAGGTATCTCATGAACGGTTGAACGGGTTTTGATGAAATTTGGCACATATGTGGAACATTGTCTGGAAGAACCCATAGGCTACATATTAAGTTTTTAATCCATGCGGACGGAGTTGCGATTGACAGCTAATTTACTAATATTTCTTGGTCCATTCCAAGTAAACTCTAATCTTACAAAGTGATATTTTAGACAGTATTGCGAATTTTACGAAGATACAAACACATTTTTATAGAACAAGAGACAATGACCGACTCAGTGACCGACATGCGTTTGCCAAGTCCAATACATTTCGTTGACGACTGTAAGACCGATTTAAACAGTATTGTACAAAAATACTTGTGAAAGAAGAAGCGAGAAAAAAAAACGATCACGTGCCCACATGGACCTTGAAAATCTAATAAATCTGAACGTGAATAATACAGCTGTCGTGATAGAGTTTTAGATACATCCGTAACCGTAGGTTTCTGAGACCAAAATTTCCTTTTAAAACATATTGCTATGGCTGTTTTGTTAAAGATGAAAGACAGGGATGACGATATATTCTATACAGAGATTTTGGTAAACGATCCAAAAGTTTACAGCTACTGCTACAGATCATAAACACGTTGTTGTCTTCATTAAATAGACAACAACCAGAATATATGCAGGTAAAGTATATGAAAATATTATATTATATTGCCTCCAGTACAGATAAGCCGTAGCTTTAGATATACAGAAAGGAAACTTTAACTAGGCTCCTATCCTAACAAATATTTCCTCTAAAATGAATTATCCCTTGTATTTGCAGCAGTCAGTGATCGTATCCGGGGTCAGCGCGAACGATGGCGATAAATAGAGCGCGACCAATGTAACACAAGATTTCCGTCCTTACGATTGTCGATTTAATACAATACCAATAATAGCTTTGAATTAAAACGTTTCTACTGTTATTGAATTATTTATAGATATAATAGCTCTCGCCCGCGACACCTTCTGCTCCGGATTAAATATTCTCAGACCTATTGAATATGTATATAACATTTCATAAAAATCAGTCAAGCTGTTTCGGAGGATTATGGTAACTAGTATTGTGATACGAGAATTTCATATATAAGATTTAAAAAAAAAATGTCAAAGTACAGATAGATTATTACACATTTCGAATCTTGATTTTGTTACGTATAGACAAACCGTATCAATTTATAAGGTAATTCTTTTAAACTAACATTGATCATTCATATGAGCGATCTAAATTTCAATCGTTTTGTAAATGTATTTTCCTTCACGCTATTTTACTTGGCTGATACAAATATACAGTGCGCTATTTTTACATCATCTATAAAAGCGATTACATCACATTTCGTGTAATGAAGGTCAAAACACGTTTACGTTAATTTATCGATATCCTACATATTGTTTACGAAATATAACGAGGAAGTAAACGAACCGATAAAGCCTTAAAAAATGATTAATCACCAAGGTGTTATAAACTTTTATCTTTTATACGATTAAAACTGTAAGATTTTTCAGCAAATTACTATAATATTTAATCCGTCAAAATAAACAGCCATGTTTTAGTATTTACATAATATCTTGTTTGTAAAGTATTATCTTTCTACGATATAGCAATTTTTTTTAACAATTTTTTGTACTATGCCACAATTAATAAATTCTTTTACTCAACTTCGATTTTAATCGTATGTTATGCCGTTTAGATAAGATTATTTTATACATCTAGGTATTATATGGAATACGTTAGGAGAAAAAATGCTATGTATTGGCGCATCTCGGTCAGCGCACTACAAGACGAATGCGTCGGACTCCGATCACGCCACTCTTTTTGGCATCCGGCCCAATACATCGATCTACTGACGATCACTTCTTAATTATTTATTATACCGTTTATAAACATGTTTACAGTAAATAAATTCTTAGGCAAACATTATTAAATAAGATGATATTGACATGTTCTATCGACTGTTCCTGTTCATCGTAATATTTTGCTAGTCCTTTAATCAAAGAAGCAAGCAACATCAGAAAATATCTGATGTGATCTTGATTGCTTTAAGTACACTATCATCAGATTACTAAATTTCATTGTGGACCATACAAGTCAATAAAAATTATATAACATAAAAAACCACTTAAACTTATGTGAATCATGTAAACCTGAACAGCTTAGTTCTCCTACTATTTATCTTTATGTATAAATTAACATATTTTTTAATTTGTATTTAATAAGTAGTTTCATTGTCCAAAACTAACATAACTGAAGTTTAATATCAATGTTTTACAAGTTCTATTTAAATGCATAAGTAAAACATGATATTTGTAGTAAGTACATTTTACTGTAACAAGATTACAGATTGAGCTAAAATAAACAACTGAGGCATGGCATTGTATTACATATGCCCTAGTTAAGAGGGCATTGAACTGACATAGTGATCCTAATTTATCTTTAGATAAAGAGAAAATTAGTATTTATGTAAATAAACTTCAAAAAAGCACTTCAATACTATATACTTTGATTTCTAACACTGTAGGCGAAGAGATATTATATCTTAATTTTTTTTCTCATATTCAAATTTACCTTTACTTCCTAGAAATATAATTAAAAGATATTGTGTGTTTGGAAATAAAATATCTGTAGTTGCAAACCAAGGTCTTAAAATGATTTTAAGGTACTTTTTGAGAATTGTAGAATAATATTATATTACTAACTGAATTGATAGTATAAATATTGAGGTACATATCTTAATTGCACTCAATTTAAATTTTCTTGAATAAAGGGGTAAAATTGTTCTGTTTAACATGGGCAGTTGCAGTGACCAATCAAGCAATTCATATTAAATTTATGAAATTTGCAGGTGCATTGATTTTTTTTATACTTTACCCGCATGATGCACATATGGCTAATTTTAGTTTACATTAATTTTAACATATTACAGAATTATTTAAATACTAATTAATGTAACTTTCATCACATTTAAACTATGAAACAATACTTATTTAAGAATGAAACAATAATTTCCTTCCATATGGATGGTAATGGATTTTAAAACCTTATGTTATTATGTAAGTAAATAAATGAAAACATACCTGTGGACTATCCAGTTGATTATTAGCGCTTGAGAAACTATGGTCGCTTCCATTACGAACGTCTGTACTTTCCATATCACCAGCTTGCGAAATCATATTTTCCTCGCCTAATCGGGATCTCTTACGGGACATTCTTACATGGCACGCCGGTGGCCAAATTTATGGTGGCAACAAAATGGTTGGTCACGGACTTACAGTAATTTTAGTCGGAACAATCCAGAAATATGATGTAGTTTTAATTGTATTGATTTTTTTCACAAAACTACTATTATAATTTTATATTATAACCTCGAAAAACATAGGTACTCTATCCTATTTTTTCCGCAAAATTATGTTTTATTGGCAAAAATATAAAACAATTTTTCTTTAATATATTAGCTTTTAATTAGGAAATAGAATAAAAATTAACAACAAAACACGACTAAAGTGTCATCAATTTGACAATTGTCAAATGTTAGGGATGTACATATATTTCCGGTACCTTAGATGCCTCTATAGGCTATGACATAGATATGATAAATATGCGAAATGAGTTGAACACCTCGGTATTCCCACTGCTCGTTTGCCCCTTTCTGTTATAAAAAAATGAGCTTGAGGTAAATTTGTGTAATATTGATAGAATAGAAAAAAAGGCATGATCTTAAAACATTATTATACGGTTTAACTTTAAAATTAAAATATTTGCATATTTAAAGTTTTCTTAAATTGTTTTAATTTTTTATTAATTTTAATTGAAAATAATGAAGTGGATACCAGCGGGGTTAGATAAAGTGCATTCGCTTTCTAGCGATGTCATAGCGAACTTTAAAATTGTATTGAATTGATGAGCAACATTCACAGGACTTATCGAAAGTTATTGGCAGTTCTATGCATTTTTGAAGTTCGTTGTGGTAACGCTTCGTAGCGAATGCACTTTGTCTAACTCTGCTCGATCGAGTGCTATACGTTAAAAAAAATTGCTATAGGTAAAGCCCCTGGAACATCCCTAGGCTGACTAAATCTGTTCTCTTAATTTATTGTTTATGATACGGTACCATAGACAAACTCAGCTACGAATCTCCTTTATTAGGATCTTCGACACGTTTTATACCTACGTTTTTTTTTATAAGAGAAGGGGGCAAACGAGCGGCAGTAACACCGAGGCGATCAACGACACCCATGGTCATCTGCAACACCAGAGGAACTGTAGATGCGTTGCCGGCCTTTAAGGAAATGGTATGCTCGCTTCTTGAAGGTCCCTAAGTCGTATTGGTTTGGAAATACCGCCGAGGACAGACCAATACAATAAGTTATTTTATTGTGTATTTATTTATATATTTTAGTTTTTATGTGTCTGAAATAAACCTTTATTATTAGGGGTTTAGTTCAGAGGCACCTAGATGGCCAGTCGTTTAGGCCAAAAATCGGTGTTGGTATAATAGCTTCATAAAAATTGTTAGCCACTCGATATTTAATTTCGCCCAACCAACACTGACTGTAGTTAACAAGCTATAAGCACTTAGTTAAAATCTTTGATAATAATTCAAAGATGCGGCTGCGGACTGTTGCATATCTTACAACATAAACTTATATAAAACAATCATATAAAACCAATATCTTAACACCAGTGTGTAAATAGGGAATGTTGAGTTCAAAATAAATAAAAACAGTAATGTCAATAACTTTTATTTTAGTTAAACAAAGACATGTATATATATAATATTATATATATTTACTGAATAAAATTATTTCTTAAAACAGAGTCTCGCCCATGCGGGAGTCAGCCACAAAGTTCTCAACATAGCCGAAATATGGCATATTGGTGAAGTAGATTTGTAAATGGTCCAATTTCTAACTTAGTGTCATTTATGTAAAATGCATAACGAGTATCGTATATTTCTAGAATATTAACAAGTAATCTTTAAAGTGACATCAATTCCAAATTATGAACCCCAAATACCTAGCCCTATTGTTTAGTCATCTATTGCTTCATATTATACTAAACATAGCTGTATAAATGATAAAAATTGAACCATTTACACCACATTGGCCAAAACATATGATTGGGAAACGACATTAAACGTCAACGAGGAGTCTATAACGCTTTAACACGACTAAACCTCAAAAAAATAGTACAAAATATATCACAGCAATTTAAGCCCAAACTGATTTTTTAATGAAGTATGAGATCGAAGAACAATCCACCAAAGGGATAGAAGTAAAAATGTATTTGCTGTTTACTTAGGATTAATCCTAATCATTTACTATGTAAGGGACAGACAATTCATATGTATAAATAAATAACAATGTTAAACGCCATTATTAGTTTAGAATATATTTATAGAAATAGCAGCGTTCTGCAGGCGGTTAACGAATGGAAGTGTACTATTGGGGGCGAAGTGGCCGGCGTTGCGTTGCGCGAGCTAGCTGGCGGGCAATAAATACAGGCGGCGCGGCGCAGCACGTTACGGCGCGAGGCGGCGGCTGCGCGGCTATGTAGACAGCGCGATCTTTAACGCCTCCTGATGCTCGCTGCTTAGCTGCATCACGCACGAGTTGAACAATTCAGCATTACTCTGAAAACCAAATGGTCGACTTGATATTGACTTTTCATGTTCTTGAAATTACACTGCTCTAGAAGTAAAAAGTAGCGCTTGTTTTTTACTAAAGAGTTTAGTTTCGTATTACTAACCTGTATCTGTCTTGCAAGTGCAACCATCTGTGCATAAACCGGGTTGTCGGTGGGCACTGCGTCGTGTAAGAAGGCCTCGGCAAGCGTGGCGACTACACGTTGCGGGGCATCAGCGGCGGCCAATGCGGGGTGCCCGCTGGCGGCAAGCTCGCACAGCAGCGAGTACACGTGCGGTGCCTCTTCCACGTCTTCCACCACCGGCAGCCATGTTAACCTGACGCACAAAAATTTTTTTAAAGATAAAAATTCCAATTAAAGGAAATATCTATTAACTGCTAGCTAGTAGCATGTTGGGCCGAGAAAAACTTGTAAAACTCACCAATGTGTGATGAGTTGGTCTCTATCGACTTGCGTATGGTTGTATTTGATGATCTTGGCTACAGCAGAGATAGCATTCTCGGTCGCATTCAAGTTTTCGATGTTGCGCGAATCGGGTGCGTTAACGACATCGGCGAGAAGGCGCGCAGCGCGAGCACACGCCGCCGCAAACTGTACGCCACCGAACTGAGCCAGCACACCACAGCCGTACGCAGCAGCCTGGCGCACCTCTGCTTCTGCCGCCACCAGACCACTCAGCATCGGCTCCAGGAATATATCTTGGTACTTTATGCATGCTGGTCCTACAAAAATTAAAATCGAAATACAAATTAACATTCTTCTTTTAAATTGTGGTGATGAATATTTTAAGTATTTCAAAGCGTGACAAAAGGTGAAAAATACCAAAACAAGAAAAACTATTGAAAAAGATTGAACCAATTACCAACAAACTAAATTCAATTACCTCCAAATTCGATGACGTCATCAAAGATACAAATAGCCCATTGTCTATCGGAGTAGGCGCGTCCGGGCGCGAGCAGCTGGATGAGGTGAGGCAGCAACGAGTCGAGGTGCGGGAAGAAGTTCTCGCGATAGGCCGACATGAGAGCATGCAGCACGTCCGCCACGCGTGACAACCCGTACACGTCCTCGTTGTCCTCGTCCGCGAGCTGCTCCTCCACCACCTGCAAACATTGATAACATGTTATTTACAAAAATATTTTTGTTTTAAAAAACACCGAAAAGTGACCAATCACATGTTACCTATGTTTAATTTTAATTATAAATTTTAAAGAAGAATAAGAAAAAATTTACCTCGTCATAATCTTCGTCAGCGCGCTTCTGGCGTCGTTCAGTAGCACGTTTGAAATGTTCTGTGAGAAGTTTGTTGAGGATGCGTAGCACTTCCTCCATGCTCTCTGTCGACAAGCAGCCAGTCCCCAACAGCTCAATACACTACAAATTAAGTATAAAAAATCATGAAATGAAATTGAATAACCCGATTGGAAAAGGTAAGCTGAATTTCGTTCATAAGTATAAATGCGAAGTAGTCTTACCTTCGCTAAACTATTAAGAAGTTCAACTTGCACCTCCTGTTCTGGTTCAGAGTCAATTGCTTTCAACAACTCGGGCAGTATGTAGGCCCACATGCCCTGTATGTACTGAGGGCCGCGAGTGCGTGCGCACTCAAGCAAGTAGGGCAGTGACTCCGCAGCGGCCGTGCGTACATTATCGTGGAAGTAGAACTTCAACATTGGCACCATAAGTTTAACTACTTCTTCAGCGTAGTCTGCAAACTCCTCCTTCAATTCACGTGCATAGCACACAAGCATGTCACAGGCAGATGCTTTATCTTCCAGTCCTGGGAAATTATGTGTACTTTATGCATAATTCCAACAAATATTATAAAATACCTAATATTATTTTATTTTTTGAAATAGATTTTTTTTAAATTCTAGTATTTACCTGCAGTTTTAATACCAAAGTTTTGTTGTTCTCCAAGTGTTACAAAATGCCAATCAAGATCTCCTTCAATGATCTTGATTTCGTCATTATCAAGTAGAGCCACTTCGGGCTTCATTGCAGCTGTGCGCAGAACAGGCTCCATGACCATGGGCAGGTAACGAGCAAACTTTTTGCCTAAACACAGAAAAAGTAATGAATAATTTATTTTTGAAAAGAAATAAACCCTTAATTTGTTATTCAAATTCAATTACCCATAATTCTACAAATCCGCGACCAGGCGGAGATTAGGAACGACGTTTGTGGGTCGTCGGGAGGCAGTTGTTCGCCCTCTGTGTGCGTTTTCAGCAAAAGGTCCATTATTTCAGACGCATCTGCCATAAATTTCTCCTCACCCACAGCCAAACCTAAGAAATAGAAAACGTAAAATTTATTGACATGTATATTTTTAAATAAATATTGTTAATTGTAAATAGTTTCTAGGCTTATTATGCAAAATGTAATTGCTGCTACTAACATTTTAACCAATTTTGGTAGAAAATGTTCAAAATATTACTAACTGACCTATAAGACTGACACATTCTATAGTTTTGCCACGGAGTGTCTTCAATTCATCGGTGGTTGCATTAGCAATGATGTACTTGAGGCATGGCATCAATCGGTCGTAGTACTGTACAAAATCACTCTCCACTGTGTCGGCAACAGAGGCGATTGTAGTTACTATCTGTTCCAACACAAGCTTGGTACCACGTTCCACCAACTGTAAATAAATAGGTACCATATTAAGCAAATATATTTAAACAACAGAAAGCTTTTAATTTTTTAATACTTTTGTATGTGAACTGAGATCCCTAACTTGCTATAAAAGAGCAAGGAAGGGAGCAAATGACACAAGTACTCTACCAATGCTATGGAAGTGACAAAATCTATGTGTGAAAATTGTCACTAACGAACATTGGAATCTGAAGTTAGTAGCCATTAAATATTTAAATAAAAAATAATGCGTATAGGCGTAGCCGTATCGTAATCACAAGATGTGGAAATTCAGATTACATCTGTGCATTCATTCACAATAAGAATTCATACATCATACAATATGCCATACATAAAATTATATGGCAATAGATATTTTTACATTCAATTGCTTACTTAACAGCTTACCTCTTTAAACTTGGTGGTCAAAATAATTTCAAGTTTACCCATCAACGGTCCAAGATATTGAGTCAAAATTGGTTTTGGACAATCTTCACTGAAGTTCACCAAAGCCGCAGCAGCGTGCGCCTAAAGTTAATATTAAAAAATTAAATCTTAATTTAAGAATTAAATTTCAAATATCTATAATCTTATATAAGTTACCTGCACACGAGGATTCTCACTATCGTCCAACACTAATAGTAGACCAGGTACAACTTTGCTGTGGAATTTCTTTTCAAAGTTCGGAGCAAAGTCAGTAGACATTTGTCCAATCGCATTACATGCGGCGTAGCGTACTCGAGGATGCTGAAAATAACAAATTAATGTCAAACAATAAATCGATAAACACCTCTCATGGTGATATTGAATACACCTACATTACTTTTAGCAACTTTAGTCAACACAGCTTAACACTTACAGGGTCAGTGAGATAAGTTAGAACAGCAGATACAACTTGGTCCAACATCTGCTCCATTTGCTTGTGGCAGCCTTCGCCGGCCGAGGAGACAGCCATAAGAGCGGCGTGCCTCTTTCTCCAGTCCTCAGAGTTCAACATCTCAGGCACTTGCCCAACTATCAATCCCAACATTATCTTTCCTCCCAGACCACAACACATGCGGTCAAGTGCAGATTCCGCTGTCACATAGTTTCTGAAATTTTACAAGCTATTATTCTAACAATTTAAAAAAATGTAGTGTTGTTTGAATATATTTATATTGTTGCAATGTGTAATTGAGGGACTGACACCTTAACTTATGACAAGTAAAGATGCTAATTATCTCAATATTTTTCTTGTAAGATTTATTCTGGTAGAACTATTTGGAGATAGCTTGACCAAGTAATATAAATCTTACTAGATATTGTTTGTCGAAGAATTAGACTTACAAGTCATTATCGTCGTCAGCTACGTCATCCTGCACAGACCAGTCAGGCTCGTCGTCTAGTTCACACATCATTGCGAGAACGAGCGGCGTTAATCTGCGTATCGCCACCGGCACCTGCTTGCGCACCATCGCCGGCGCCGTTTCGCACAATGTCACCAGCGCCTCTAGCGCGAGCTGACGCCAGTTGTCGTCCGCCTCTGTGTCCCCTACAACCTACAAAGGCAAAAATGGTCATACATTTGCTCACCACATTTTAAATGAATGCAGTATGATTAAATCTAAATAAAATTAAATCATACATCAGGTTATCATATTTCATATGACTGTTTTAGCAATATGATAACATGTTATCATTGATGACTTCTAACACAACTAAACTAAACAATGATTTAATCAACCACAGTTCAAAATGTAGACAATTTAAATGAATTGAATTTTGTCCATCCATTAATAGAATAGAAGAAAAAATTTAGGCAATGCAACACCCACAACAATTTTTGTTGTGGGTCCTAAGGTACTAAATATTATTGGTTTTAATACCAAATCAAAATTTTATTAGGGCCTAATAAGATGTTCCAATATTATATCTATTTAAAAAATACTTGCTAATGATCTAACATTGAATAATCTGCACTGAAATGGTTTCTAATATTGTTACATAATACAGAGATATATGACAGAATCCTATTACTACACATACCTTTATTCCAACTTCAAAGATAGTTTCCAACTGTGGTCGCAGGAACCTTGGAGCTGATTCAGCCAGCTCAATGAGAACCTTAAGAGCTGAGTCATCATCAGTCTTCTCTATAGACTGTACTACCACCTAGTAACATAAAATATATCTTTAAAATAGTTGCAAAAACATAAATAGATTATTTTATTATAGATAAAACAATTGTATTGAGGGCTACTATCAAACTCAATCCTATTAACAGGAAAGTGTTAGCGAAATCCTCAATGTAATATACTTTAGCACATCTTGGCAATAAACACTTTTCATATTGAAAAGCGCATGTAGGAGTTAATGTGCATATTTTATAAACATTGGTTTAACAACCAAAAACATGGGTGTTGTAGGTGGGGCAAACATTGTGGATAGGGACAGCTTTATTAAATATTAACAGGCATTTTTCTTTACTGTGATAAAAGGCTTATAGTTATACTACAATGGTAATAAAAATTACTAACTTGCATGAGTGGCAGCAACAAGTCACTGAAGTGCTTCTGTATTGCAGACTCCTTGTCATGCAACAGGATGAATGCTCCCACAGCTTTAACAGCCTGCATGCGCAAAGCTTCCGTTTCAGTTGGCTGCAGAGACGACAGCAGCATTTGCTTGATGACATCCAAATTTTCATTTTGTCTGTTTCCAAATACTCCAGGTACAGACCTGTTAATGAATGGTAATTATAAATCTGCACTTACATAGTAAAATGGAAACTTTTTGAATTGTGTTGATGATGTTAGTATCAAATATTTGTACAAGTGATTTTAACCTCTCTCAACTTACGTGAACATCCTTATTCCAGCCTCTTTAATGTCAGGATTTTGTGAACTGGCACAGTGGAACATGAACTGTAGAAACTCAGGCCATTGGTTGACACCATCATCATCTATGTGATTTCTGGCAAGTTCAGACACTACATCACAGATCTAAAACACAAAGATAAGTTATTAGTCATACTTTTTAAAGAACATGAGTCATTAACATCTATTAACAACTATCAGAAAAATAGTTTTTTTTTAGATAGATAATAACTGGGATTTTCATTAGTTACATTTCTCAGCATATTTTGGATTCAAACTGAGGCAAATTTAAATCTATGATTAAGTTGAAATTACATGAAAGCATGGAGGGGAAGGAAGATAAATTATGATAGTGCTTTACCTTTCTGCGTAACTGCTGACTAACGTTCATCTGAAGTGTAAGTAGCAACTGTTCCCTAAGCATTGTCTGTTGATCAAAAGGTAATTTTGGGAAAAATTCAAAGAATTCCGCACTGAGCAATCTTCGCAGCAGCACAGCTGCTGTTTGCCTGGCTTCTTCACCAATGTCTCCATTTTGAATGGCCCCCACTAGATGTACCACCTTTGTCTCTGTCGGTATGTTGTTGTAAGCATCCTAAATAAACATAGTGTTGTTACATGTGATTTTATAATTGAAACGAGATTTTGTATAGCATAAAATTTAATATACATATAAAAAACAGTTTTAATATTAGTTTTTTAGATATAAATTATGTCAATTTAAAATTGTATATATTAAAATAAAAAACTGTTAATAATAAACTCTGTATATTTATTTCTGATGTCATGATTAAAAATATTATCAAATACTAAAAAGAAATGAAAATAACATGTAATATCTCATAAACATTAACGAAACTCAATTAATTTTACGTACTTTATTTAGACTAATTAAAACGTGTATGGGAATACCCACATGCCTATATATAATTTAGTTTTCTCATACTAGTATTTTAAGAAAATGCATAATCAGCACATTACATTGCAATGCAATATATTAGCTTGTCTTAACAAAATTGAACGTTATAAATTGTTCGAACATAGTTTTAAATTAATAGTCCTCCATGACCACGTTCCGACACGAGGCCATAACGCCTAGTTTTTACAGTTAATACGTAATTTAACAACATGATTTAACCAAAGTATTGAAGAAATTCATAAAAATGAACAAATACTCACTTCTGCTTGCTGTCGGATATCATTATCTGTAGACAATAATGTATTTAATAATTGGTAAAACTGCGCCTGATCTCCTGCCATGTTGAACCTCTTCAAAAAGGCCCAATTTTTTTTCATAAAATTTAATGCGGCTGCTCAATGTTCCATTGTGTTGCCAGTTATATTTTTTAAATACCCTATGCAATTACCAAAATGATCAAAAATATACAATTTGTTACGTAACATTAATCAATATCCGTAAAAGCAAAAATTACAAATACAGATTTAACTAAAAATACAATTGAAATCTTCTCTAGGTACAATATTTATATGAAAAATGGAAAAAAAGCAATGTGACAACCCTTCATGGAATCAGATAGATAAAGTTGGTATTTGGTACAGTAGAGTTTTGTTCAATATTAATGAAGTTTTCCCGAAGTTTTTGCTTTACCATTTAGGCAATTTTGACATACTTTTCTCAAAGAAAGTATATCTGTTTTAATGAAAATGCCACAATTTGAAGCATTACTAAAACCAAAAATAATATGTTGGTAGGATTATAGATTGCTGACCCAGTGTCTATTAAATATTTTTTACCCTTATTCGTACAATACTAAAGGAATTAACTTTATTGTACAGGAACCGGTAAGTTACCGGTAGGTTTTGTGTGACAAACATTTTGAACATTTGTTGTGACACATTGTGACAATGACAGGAATTGAAAATCAGAAAATGATTGAAAATGTTAAATGTTCGAGTACAACATATTTTATTTAAATAAAATTTTCGAGTTTACTTCTGAATTACTAAGTCCAATTACAATCAGTTATCAAAATGGTATGTGTATCAAATTATATATTGTGTGGTTGTACTTATCTGTATAAGGGTTATAATTTGTGTATGTTTTACAGGCTAGTACTATAATTGTAGCTGGAATAGGTATGGCTGCTGTTGGTTTTGCCGGGAGATATATTTTAAAACAAATGCCTAATGCTTCTATGAAATTCGCCGAGGCCGTTAAAAATTTGCCTAAATTTGATACGGAAAGTTTAGCAAATTCCAAGTACTATAAAGGTGGCTTCGAACCTAAAATGACCAAAAGAGAAGCATCTCTCATATTGGGAATAAGTCCGACGGCTAGTAAAGCAAAGGTGTGTCTTAATTTTAACAATAACAGAAATTTTATTAACCATGAACTCTGTCAAAAAACTAGGCATAACCTTTGTCCTCCAAATTCTAGAAAACTTTGTTTGTAGATGCTACAGCCTTTCTTATTGGATCCTCATTGTTGACTTGCTAGTATGCTTAAACAGCAACAGATTTTAGTTTGCTTCCGCATCATTCCACACTCTGTATCATATCAAGACAAAGTAAATCAGTTTAATCCTTGCGTGCAGTATGTTTGACACGGGCCAATAGATGCATACCTTTAATATTTTCCCAATATGTGTACTTATCTAGTGTAACATGAAACAAACAAGTATTATTATTATTTAAGATTTCTTTTAATATGGATTGTGAAATGTTTAACTTCCATTTTTAGATCAGAGATGCTCACAGAAGAGTTATGTTATTAAATCATCCAGACCGAGGTGGTTCACCATTGATTGCAGCTAAAATCAATGAGGCAAAAGATGTTCTAGAAAGTGGTAAATCATAAGCTACTCTAAAAATATTAAGATTGTAGATCAAATTACAGAAAAGAATATTTTAAGTATAGAATGTTAAATATAGTAAATAAAACAATGTTTCAACTTTAATTTTCTATTTTTCACTTCAAATTTTGAAGTGTTTTCCAAGAATTTTAATACACACTAACACATTTTTTTAACCCAAGCCATATCCTACAGCCAGCTAATATCATGCTTAAGCATCTCATTTTAAAAAATCAATTATTATAGCCTATTTTCTAAAATCAATATTCAACATTCAATCATTTTATCCATTAATAAATTTCAATTGAAATTGATGATTTTTGATTACTATGATATGATGATTACTATCTTATAATGCATAGTAATTACTTCATGTTATTTCATCACCTTAGGGACCAAATTGTTCATTTTACAGTGTATAAAAAACATAACTAAGTGTGAACGTATATATTAATTGTAATTTATTTCTTCAAACTGTTCAACAGAGTTTTGGGATTTTTCCTTAGCAAAGAATAATCAGCAGTGCTATTTTTTTAAAGATACATAGCACTTTCTAATTACAATAGATGTTAAAAGATAAAAAAATAATTAATAAATATTTAAAATTCTAAAATCCATAGAGTGGAATAAGTTTAATTCCAAATAATAAATACCTACTTAACTAACATAAGATGTAAATGATATGCAACATGATTTTCATAACGAAAAACGTATTAAAATTCATACTTACAATAATAAAAGTTTTAAATTATTGTCAACATAAAATATATGTTAATAGATGTACAAAAGGCGCTTAGACTAGCTGAATTTGTACAAATTAAAATGTAAACAAACAACTTTACGATGATTAGTGTACTTGTGTTGTCTACTAGCACATTCAAAAGTACTCTGAAGGATTTTTTTGCCTCATAATTTGAACTAACTTAAATTTATTTGAACACATATTCTTTGTCCAGTATCAAAACGTTAGGCATCTGTATAGTCAGCTTGATATTTCTATGGCAAAATATCGAAAATAACACCATTAAAGTTTAAAGCAATATCAATAACACCTTTTAATAAATATAATATCAGGTATTTAGGCTTAAAAGCTTGATTTCATCTCAAATGATGTCTAATTATTTTTTGAACATCAAAATATAGAGATAGACTAAGCTACAAACATTTTTAATTATTTAAACAGGATTAAGAAGATATTAAAGCTATGTAAGTAGTTGTTAGTTGCATACTTTAAATTTGGTAATCTTTTGAATATAGTGAGATCAAAAGTTCCTTGTTCTCATTGGTTGATTCACCGAGGTGGTTCCTTTTGTTGTTGTTCCCGACGCTGCTTCGCAAAACGCGCTCTCAGCTTTATTATTGTTGAATTAGACAATGTTCCGGGTACTTTGAAAATAGACTGAAATATGAATTAGATTTATATAAAAGATGACATGTATTTCAAGCTATTAGTTATTGATCAAAGACCTATGCAAATCTAATCATCAAATCATTGCACAATGTAAATATTTTATTGCACTTTAATATTATTGAAGTTTTATACTACTATTAGAGTTACAAATTTATATGTTTTGAATAAAATTATACACATTATAGTAATCAAACATAGTCATACCTGCATAAATTCATGACAATGCAATGCACTTGCATTTTTCACTATAGCCTTGAAGCATTCCGCTAGAGAAGTGAAGTCATTGCATGATAATATTAAAGCACGATTATTTTTTATCAATGTTATACAAACTCTAAACAGAATTTTAGAGCCTTCATAAAATAGACAATCCCAAATTCGTAGAACTGTTTCTATCGGCAATACCTCAGCAAAAAGACAAACAAACCATTTGGTTGTTATAACAGCCCATGGTAAACCTGAAAAAAAATGCAATTAATAAAATTATTTTTATTTTTTATTACAAAAGGTACACACTAGTGAAGATAAGATTTAGTAAAACCCTATCTGTATAAAAAAATCAGTACATACCCAAGTTTATCACATGTTGATGTACATCAGGGGCTTTAGATTTGACAAGTTCTGATAATACTTCAATGTCAACTATCAGGCCGTCCATAGTTTTAGTATAATAATCAGGCAGAATCTTTTCCACAAGCACTTTCAGTAACCAAAATGATGTTTCTTCACTTTTAGTAGCTAATAGAAGTAAACCTATAAATTAAATTGATATGTTATTTTGTATAAAATATGCAATATATCTATAATGATGTTACAAGTATTGTGTAAATAACCATAAGTTTCAAGAAACATTTTTTTTTACCATAGAGTAATAGGCCTAGTTACCCCTTACTTAGGGTAGGCTCTAAGCCCCTCAGTGGGGACATTTAGTGAACTGACGATGATGATAGTGTAGTAGCAGTAGTCATCGCCTATAGTGATGCAACACTACAACTAGTATGTAAATGTTTTTTTTTACTAACCTACCTACAAGTATTAAACCTACATTTATTAAAAGATAAAACACCTACAAGTATTAAAAGATAAAATAATGTATAATTTCTTGTAAATTACCTGCAATATAGTTGAGTCCTTGACAATAACCAACAACCCTGTTGTTGTGCGCATATGCAATAAGGACATTGAATAAATGTGTCTGATGATTGGCTTCCTTGGTGAAGTAGATGTTGTCAGGAAATGTGCGCGGCAAATCTGTCTTCACAAGATCCACAAGTTCCTTTTCAAAAGGACCATCCAGTATTTTTTGGTACAGATCAGGGCACTGATCCTTCATTTGTTCCGCTTCTGATATTGCCATCCATACTGATGGCCGATGTTCACCTGTACAAGTTATGGGTGATTTAAGATTATACTGTTTCAATACCAGGGTATCTGTTGAGTGTGTGAGACTTAAATTTACTACTTCGATTGAGACAGTTTTTTCCATATGTAAAATAGGTAAATTGGGTGAAAATTAAGAAATAAGAAGTATTAATTCTTTTTTAAAAAGACTTATTTTTATGATTAATATATTATGTTTGTGAATGTATTTGATTTTATTTTTGATAGTAAAAAAGAAATTGCGACAAGACATGCAGCAGTATTCATTTTTCATCACTAACACGCTTCAAAAGTTTAATATTCCATATTGATGAATGAATGTACAAGATGGTAATTTATTTAAGTTAAATTGATGTTTTTACTTTAAACCATAACTAATAAGTAATGACATTTTTAAATAAAAATTGAATATTTTTAAATTCACAGTAGTGTTTCCAAAAAGTTATAAAGAAAATCTTATCAACTTACTAGGTATTCCTTTGCGAACATATCTTTTAACTGTGTTTGTTCGTTTGACCGACTTTCCTTCGCCGAGTAATGTAGCCCATTTTTGTGCGCGAGAGGCAAGTACCTTCAAGTAAACGGACATAAAGTGCTCATAACTCTCATAATCAAAGTCCTCATGTCGTTCAAATCCATATTCGTCTACAGTGCTAAAATGTTAGGAATATTAGATGTTTTGAAGAAATCGATAAAGATAAATGTCACACTAATCACTTACCTGAAGGTAGATTGAGCCATTTTAATATATTTTGATGTTAATTATAATACAGTGTCATTTTTATTAATGTTCTACAAATATGTATTCTTAAAGATATATAACGCCCCCAAAACTTATTATTCGTCCATGACAGAAATAAATTATTTTAATTTTGATAAATTTAACTCAATTGACCAATCAAAGAACACCAATTATTCAATGACATTGACAATCCAATCGAAAAGATAATATAGATAATAAAATAATAAAGAATTGTGTATAGGTAACAAAGAATCAAAGATTCCAGTTCTAGACCATAATGTCTCTCCTTTGGTTTTTTTCAAAATACAAACATAAACAACTGTCAAAATAAATTTATACGTCAACGTCAAATTAATCTGTCAATGTCAAATAGATATGTCAACTTCAATGTCTGTGGTTATTGTCAAAATTAGAATTGGGAAAGTTTGTTTATTTTATTAATAACAAAATTTACGTTAACATATAGTTGTAGTAAGAAATAAATTGATACAGTTTTCACACCATGGGCCCACCTCCAGTTGTCACTGGCATTTCACCAAAAGAAGGCCCCCCTGGCACAAGAGTAACCATTCGGGGGGAGTTCCTGGGGATAAGTGTAACTGATTTAATTGGTAATATTAGAAGAAAAACTATTTAAATGATTTTTCAACAAAAAATTACCAAGTTCTTAAAAATGAATCTTATTTTTATAGGACTCAAAATATGCGGCTGTGATTGCTTGCTATCAGCAGAATGGAAAAGCAAGAACAAAATAGTGGCTCGATCTGGACCATGTAAGGGTCGAGGTGATATAATAGTCACCACAAAATCTGGTGGTGAAGGCACTTCAACAGTACAGTTTAGAGGTTGGTTTATTTTATATCTTTTTTTTATTAAAAAATCCATTTGTTACACAGTAAGTAAGATACAAATGCTAAGTTATTATATAATTAAACTTAGACACATATTAAAAGACTGTCTTCTTCTTAGCATAGGATATATCTAGAAATTATGATTAAACCAAATAAGAAGTAAATAAGGTATGTTGTAAGTTAACCATCATAAACTACTATTATGTCTGTAAATATGTTTTATTTATTAACCTTTTAAATGTTCAAGAAGTACATTCATTGAATTGTTCTTGCACAAACTTCTTCTAAACTAATCTCTTCTCAATAATAATTATCAGGATACCATGAATCAGTGGGGCCTATGAAAGAAAGTGCAGTCTGGGTGGAGGAGGCTGCACCCCCATCTTTGCCATGGGGCCGTCGTCCAATGTCACCCACAGCTTATACCCCACCAGATCCTTTGGGATTGTCTACTGAAGGTGATGACTATAAGTTTCCTGAGGAAGAGTTACATGAGCTATTCCCAGATGGGTATGTCCAAAGCATATTTAAATTTGCATTTTGGCTTATTAATATTGTGAGTTTGTTGTAAATAGCATGTTGTAAGTAGAATAGCTTATAAAAATTTACAAACTTATTTGTTTATTTATCATATTTTCAATAAAAATTTGAAATGTATATATTATATTAAAAATAGGGCACCGTTGGCTGCGGAATTACTTGAGTCAAGCAACCAGCAATTAGGGCTGAAGAGACAGGAACCTTCTCTTCTCTTCTTTAGATGTTGGTCGAAGCTTAGCTATATTATTATTATTTTTATATTTTTAGGTCAGGAAAATTATCAGATGAAAATTTCCAACCTGGCTGGTATCTTTTAGAACATCATAGCAACACTTCATATGAAGATTTAAAAGCTGGTATGGTATTTCTACAAAGAAAGGTAAGGAACTTTTATTACTTTTAAATGATTTCTTGCAGCCCGAGTTACTGACATATACAATAACTCAAATATTTAGCTATTTTTATATGAGAACTAGCATTAAAAATAGTTTTATATGTGGTCAATGGTTTAGGACTTACAAAAAAAAATGATATCTTAATAATCTTATATATAACATTCTCATTATTTTTTAGACAAACACGCGGATGGAGTCGCAGGCGACAGCTAGTAATTTTGTAAATGTTTATATTATAATGATTTTCTTAAATATTACAGGTGGAGGGACAAAAAGAAGGTCAATTAAGTTTTCTTAAAGCTAATACCGGTGCTGTGATGGACCAGTTAGACCGGCTAGTGCTTCTGAAGAACATGTATGAAGAAGATCAAAGAAAGAATGGAAGAGAACCACTCCCAAGCTTGCAATCGGCAATTGAAGGTATTTTTAGTCTGTTTAATTTTTTTTTATTAAATGCCTAATTTTATAGAAAAAGTTTAATTCTCGCAGGTGTTTTTGCCTGGCAGATGTTACAATTTCTTAATTTATATTTTATTAATTAAAATAAGCTAAGATAGTGTTTAAAATATTGTGTGTAATTGAAAACCCTAGTTAACATTAAAATGTAATGTAATATTGAATTGAAAATTTTTCAGAATCAATTTCATTGGCCGACTCATTATTCTCCGAGATTTTATCACGTAAAGAGAATGCAGATAAAACTCGCGAGGCGTTGTCTCTACTCACGAGACACAAGTTTCTGTTTCAACTGCCCTCATCCATAGACAAGAATATTAAAAAGAAAGAGTATGATTTAGTTGTCAATGATTATACAAGAGCTAAAAATCTCTTTGGAAATACTGATGTGAAGGTATAGTAATAATAGTAGATCTTACCAAAAACGTTTTTTGTGATATATACATTATTCAGTTATGCTGGCTGTATTTCACAAACTCATTTCTTTGTATAATTACAGCTATTCCAAAAAATCTTGGCAGAGATTGACAAAAAAATTGAAGATTTAAAAGAAAATTTGTTCAACAGAATGAAAACAATGCCCATAAATGTTCAAGAACAGACAAAATATATTAGGTATTATTATGAGATATTTTATAATACTGTACTAAGGACATGTCTTATATGTTTTTTTATATGATTTTCAGATTACTGATCAGTTTGAACTGGGACGGAGACGCAGCTTGGACAGCTATACTGAGCCGTAAAGATTATCTCATGAACTTAATGAATAAAGTAAAGGAACATTTCAAAAAGAAGGAGGAGCAAGAATCCAATGAGAAAGGTAATATTGCATATTATCTCGTCCCATGACACCACAATGTCAAGCAACAGATTGTCATCTTTTATAGATCATAATTTAAGTAGTAACTTGTTTAGTATGTTGTCAGCTTTTACCTATTGGTATATGTTATATTGTTTTGTTCTGTTTGTTTCAGGTCGTCGTAAGTTACGAGATTGGGAGTGCGAGGGTTCGTGGACCGCGACTCGGGCGGACTGGTGCGGCGCGGCGTGCGGCGCTCTCGCCTCTGAGTTGCACGCGCTGTGGCCGCTCGCCAGGCGGTATTTTGCTGGAGAGCTGGCAGGCCAGCCGACACTGCCGCAGCGGCATACGGATCTCAAGGTCACTTCATGATTTTTATTTTATTTCACAGTGAGTAGCGCATATTAGCTGCAGTCTTGAGATAATTGCTCAAACGTAAAGGTGTTAAAGAAAATTTGTTCACAGTGTAATTCATATTTGCAGGAGATGATAATAGCAATGGTGGAGTCGTTTTCGGAGCAGATGCGCGGTTGCTTGATATGTACGGGGGCAAGCGGTGGCGCAGGTGCGGGCGGTGCGGCAGGCGTGGCCGCAGATGTACTGCGCGCGCGCCTCGTCGCCAATCTACGCCACTTGCGAGATGCTTACGATTCACTATTGAAACTCGACTTGCCTTCACAGGTAATGTATCTGCTCTACTCAATTCTTTGTATATAAAAGCTAGATTTTTTTAAATAATTATCAAGTTCTGTTTTTACTACATAAAGGCCTTTACGGCCGTTCAAAAATTGCCATAGCGGTCGGTATTTCACGACCACAAGGCGGGGTATTGGTAAAGTTTTCAACTAGCAATAATCGCACCTCGGATTAACCTCATTGGTTACGATATTGCCTCTGCGCAAAGTTATCAGGTAATCCGCCTGGGGAATGGGTGATTCTTCTGAACAAATAGGCTATAGTGTGATTTAAGTATTGCGTGGCGCCATCTATCGATAAACATTGTAAACTATTTAGAAGCAACGATTTTCATTAACATTGGAACAAGTTGTGAAAAATCATGGGCAGCTCTAAAAAAAATATTTTTTAAATATCTGCTCTTCCTAGCTCCATTCTTCTCTGAACAGCTAACTGATTTTAATCGAATATTTTTTGGTTGACAAAAAGTAGAACGGTATTTCGACATTTTTTCAGACTGAACAAGCGTTGTCAATATGATTATATAGATGGCGCAACTAATAGTTGGCAAATTATAGATCGTGATGGTGAAATTTTTTCATAACGAATAAGCCCTGTGGACGATTATTTTTCGGTATCGCTTCTCGGCCTTTTGGCTAAGATCAAAGTGTAGTATCTGTTCTTTTCAGCTTAATATCTGAAAGTTCCCGCACTGCGGGACCAGTATATTAAACTGATTTTTGTTAAACGACGGGATGTTCGGGGCTCGCTCCACTCCCGTCACGGGTCGGCCCGGCATTGCAGTGCCGCCGGGATCGGCTCACATTATTACTAATATCAATTAACAATTGCTCTATGAGATGGGTCAGTGATGTCTGAACTCTGGAGTCTCTGAAGTCATGGGAAGGATTTTTTTTATAATTTAATTTGTTTTTGTTATAGCCGTTGAGTATAGTGGAAAAAGTGATATTCGACTATCGAGTGCATGGCATGACGGTGTTTCTGCAACGGGCGCACAAGAGAGTGAAAGGTCTTTCAGAGAAGGAGACTTGGAAGATCGAGGAATTTTCCGATTACGGCGCCATCACTAACTTGGTAATAATATTGAACGCACTATGAACTATTATTGTGTATTATTTTTTTAATTATCTCACCATAGCAACGAAAAAATGTTCAGATTTCAAATCTTGTGTATATTTGTTTTTGGATTAGAGGCGAATACGAGCTCCGAATATCTTTACAAATAATCTTCAAATTATTACTTATTATAGATAATATATAACTATTCCAGCCGCACTTACTAGAAAGCTACGTGAACGATGCGCTGTCGGCTATCCACAAGTGCGTGCTGAGGAGCGGGCGGCGCGAGAGCCCGCTGCTGGCCGCGGGCGGGGAACCGCTGGCGGCGCTGCAGCGACACACGCAGCACACCCTGCTCGCCTTCGTGGCCGTGCTGCGCGACCTCACCATGCATCATGAGGACCAGGTCACTTTCATACTTATATGCGTGTTTTGTTAATTGGCTTTTAAAATCTTTCTACGCAATAGTAAGCGTATTTACAATCAGCTTGACATCTTCGGATTCATGTAATAAAATGTAACTCTTTTCTTTGTGTTCTGTTTTGGGCAGACTAAGAATACTCATTGTTAGTTGTTTCAGATCTGTATGAAATTTAATTACCGATAAATTATGTTTTTTGTTAGATGTTATGTATAAAGTACACTTTTGAACATCGGTAAATAAAAAGATAGATTAAAATTGTACTACAGTGCCATAATAGTGTATTTGTTGATATTTTTTATGGTATATATTAAAAAATTGCACCGCCCGGCGTAGGCGTGCGTAAATGCATTTCCTGACTATAAAAAAAAAATGGTATATATTAAAACATTACAGGACTTCAACAACACGAGTTTGTCGGTGGCACTGGACCAGCGGCTGGAGGAGAGTGCGGTCGAGACGGTGTCGGCAGGGCGCAGCTGGCAGCAGCGTCTACTCATCGCCGGAGCCAACGCGCAATATACACGCCGGCGCACCCTCGCTAATATATTGACTGCTTTTGAAAAGTTAGTTACTCATATTGATAAATTTTCATATTAGATATGCTTCATCAATGCCGCACATGGGTTCAACGAAATGTTCTATTGACATGACTTAAGAAGTAATTATGGTTATTATGTGGGCCGATCCCGGCGGCACTGCAATGCCGGGCCGACCCGTGACGGGAGTGGAGCGAGCCCCGAACATCCCGTCGTTTAACAAAAATCAGTTTAATATACTGGTCCCGCGATGCGGGAACTTTCAGATATTAAGCTGAAAAGAACAGATACTACACTTTGATCTTAGCCAAAAGGCCGAGAAGCGATACTGAAAAATACTCGTCCACAGGTCTTATTCGTCATGAAAAAATTTCACCATCACGATCTGTAATTTGCCAACTATTAGTAGCGCCATCTATTTTATTATATTGACAACGCTTGCTATGTCAAACGACACGATGAAAACAGTTTTCTTAAGTTGAAATACGTTTTTATTTTTTGAATGACATTAAATAATGTATTTCTTTAAAAGCATATCATTATAACTATTGATATTTTGTATTTTTTACTCATTTTACGTAGAACTTGCCATACGTGCACTACTAACTTGCCGTATCTTGTGAAGAAACTAAACTATTTACTATTTATTTGAAACAATAAATTTGTTTTCAGTTACGAGATGCCCAAACCATTGCAAGCTATCCAGGCAACGAAGGACGAACTGAGCGCTTTGGAGGATAATATAGCGGAGATGTATTTGGAGCACAAGGGCGACCCACTGGTGGGTACGATAGAGCCCAGCATGTATATGGGTCGCCATCACACCGACGCCGACACTTTGCTCGACGATGCCAGACCTTACGTCTACGAGATCATTAACAATCTGATCGCGGTGCATGCGGAGGTTTGTAAAAA